TTAAACTTTGTACGCAGTTGTTTGTAGTCGGGCGTACAGCTCTTCTTGATCCTTTGTCACCATTACTTGAAAAACATTTAGAAACCTTCAAAATTTTCTCCTATAGTTGTTAACAGGTCTTACTGCCCACCGTCGTACCCTCCTTTGAGTATGCAAGAGCCCCAACTCATTACTTAACGCCGTTAGTAACAGTATTTTCTTTAATTTAATTCTCTTCTTGTCTGCCATTGCAGAAATTAATCAAAAATCTGTTATTTTTCTATTCACTTAACCAACCACGTTATTTAACGACCAAAAGAGGTTAGGTTTTAATTGTCAATTTCGACACTGAGAACAACTGCCTACCAACATAAACAGATAGATCACTAGTACACACGGGGGCGTACTTCTGCAGCTGAAATTTCCACTCATTTCTGCAACGTGTGCATTCTGCGTACGAGCCTAAACCCGCCTTAACACACACTTTCACGGCAGCTACAATGTAAGTATAACCACAGACTAATTCCATCAACGGTGCAGGTATCGTATCTACTGTGACCAGTGACAGGTTGTGTAAATAACCTACAAAACTTTTGATTGTTGTGTGTTGACGTATTGAAATATGGTCTTAACTTTGTATCATTTTCCACCGTCTGCTCCGTCAAGAGGTGCGTTACTTGCTGCTCACGCTGTCGGTGTCAACGTTGACGTACAAGTTCTCAATCTCTTTAAAAAGGAGCAACTTAAAAGTGACTTTGTTAAGGTAGGTCTTGTGGTTTGTTTTTTGATCTAGCTAGAGTCTGCTTCAAGCACGCAGAGTGGCTATCCCCTGTTCCTTAGTCCATTATAAAGTCATTTGCTGTGTTTACTCGGTATAATTGATATCGTGGAGTGAATTGCTTTCACTTACCTTTCGGAACGCATTATATATTTGTAAACCTGTTAGTAGATAAACCCACAACATACAGTCCCCACATTAGTGGATGGGGAGTTTGTGGTATGGGAAAGCAGTGCTATAGCGGCCTACTTAGTGAATCAATATGGAAAGGATGACACCTTATACCCAAAAGACTTGATGAAGAAGGCCCTTGTAGATCAAAGACTACAATTCAATTGTACAATGCTGTATCCTCGCGTGAGAGCCATTTGTGTACGTTTACAACAACCGTTCTAGGTAGCTTGAACATGGTTTATCTTTTAGTTTCCTATCTTATATCAAGATGAGATTGAAATGCACGATGAGCAGAAAGCACCTGTCGATGAAGCATTAGGTTTCTTAGATGTATATTTAGATGGAAACGACTTTGTATGTGGAGATAAGTTGACAATAGCCGATTGTTTATTAGTGGCTTCAGTTGCCACTATCGCTGTAAGTTTCTTCCATCTGTTTTAAGGAAAATTGTATTTCGAATTTTAGGCAATCGGATGGGATCTTACATCGTATGCTAATGTTTATTCGTGGGTTTCGCGATGTGCATTAGAAATCCCAAATTATGTGGAAGTTAATCAAAAAGGTGCAGATGAATTTGGAAAAGCAGTGAAAACTAAAATGGAATCAGGATAATATTTGTATACATTTGCATTGTACTTATTGCTGCTTTCAAGTAAATTTGTATTTTTGTAATAGGTAGCATTTTCTTTTGTTATATATATAGAGTTCATTCGTAGAAACACACGCATAGTTAATTACATTTTAAAAATGATTTCATCATATTAGTTCTGCTATAAACAGAACTGAAACGAACACACTTATTAAATATCAAAAATACAATTTTTTTGGTTCTGTAAAATAAAAATAAGATTTAACCTATAGTATCATATGGTACTCAAATTGAAAGCCTTCTGCTTCTAATGAACTTGGCTTTAATATTTGCAATTTTAGAATTGAATGTCGAACACAGACCGGCAAAGATTGTAGGCCGCCAGTCGCCAAGCCGCTACTAGAGTGGGCAGTGCCCTCTGTGGAAGTGAATGCTGCACACTACAAAAATGTAGCCTATGGTTAATGGAAAAATATGAAATTATACAAATTACCACAGTATCTAGAGCTAGATTGTGACATGAGACCCCTTACAGATTTAATTTTGGATCCGCCACTGAACTTTAGGTTGTAACTTGTAACCATGGTAACCTAACCTAACAAACACGAAATATTTTCAAATTTTATTCACAAATGAACAAATATCGAGTTTTGGGAAGAATAGGAGAGGGTGCTCACGGATACGTGATGAAAGGAATTAATAAGGTGACAGGCGTAGAAGTGGCACTCAAAAAATTGATTATACGAAATTTGGACGAGGGAATCCCGACAAACATAATGCGCGAGATAGCCAGCTTACGGGTCCTCAATTCTGTTTATGTTAGGCATTCTCGTTACCGCTATAATTTGCTTATGACCAATTTTAGATTGTTAAACTACTAGAAATTATTCCTCACGGAATGGGGTTTGTGTTAGTTATGGAATACTTACCGACGAGCCTTTACGAAGTGTTGCATAATTGTAACAAACCGCTCAACGAATCGCAAATTAAGCTCTACTTAAAAATGCTTTTATTGGGCATCTGTTATATGCATCAAAATCATATTATGCACAGAGTATGTAATTTTTTTGTTATTTAAATGATGCAGTGTACGCTTTTCAGGATTTGAAACCGGCAAACTTACTGATCGCTCATAGCGGAATGCTGAAAATTGCAGATTTCGGTTTAGCAAGGATATACTTGGAAAATGAACCAATTCGTCAGTATTCCCATCAGGTCGCTACACGTTGGTATAGAGCGCCTGAATTATTGTATGGTTCTCACAATTACACTAATTCAATAGATATGTGGTCGTATGGATGCATTATGGTTGAATTATACAATAAAACACCTTTATTTCCGGTGATTATAGTGAGACTGCGACATCCATGTAAATACACTATTGTTGTTTTAGGGGGAGACTGATATTGAACAGTTGGCAATAGTGTTACATACTTTGGGAACGCCCACCTTGGAGAATTGGCCAGATTTACATTCTCTACCGGATTATAATAAAATAACATTTTCTCGTAGTCCTGGACTTGATTGGAAAGATATTGTACCTGGCGTTCTGGATTCGACATTAGCTTTGATCAAAAGATGTTTACAGTATAATCATGTGACTCGTATTAGCGCGAGTGAGGTTTGTAGTCACCGCTTTTTATAGTGATTGGGTATCTCCTCAATATTAATCCCCATTAACTGTCACATACCAATGCAGCACTTGCTGTATAAAAAATTACTACAAATTTTAATAGTATAAGTATGTAACAAGGGATCTGCATTTATTCTTTCTTCAGTTAAGGATGAAATCTCTGCTCTGATTTCAAAATGATTCCAAAAGTTAACTGGATCCCATTTAAATTTGAAATTGACAAAGCGACGCGTGATCAAACATCTTAGTAACAGCCCTTCAAAAATTTAACAGGCTTCCGTTACAGTCTAAAAGCAGGACCCCCGTACGTTAGTTGTAAAGAATAAGAATGCTATGACCTGAAGTACGGTAGGGAAGGAACGCAAAATAAAATACTGAAATGGCCAAAAGTTTGTTTAGTAATTACTGCTATTATAAAGATTGCGAAAGCTTGGAAATGTATAGTCAAAATATAATTGAATATAATTTGATATGGTACTTCACCAAGTAAAAATAGACTGGTAAAAAAAGAACTTCCCAAGTAAAAACCAGCCAACAAATTAATATTTAAATTGTATAGCAAAATGAATTGTTTGTAAATTGTAATGTTATATCAATGCATCACAATAAAATTATAACAACATTAACGTTCGACATACTCATACATGATATAGCATCTGTACGGTAGGCTTCGACAGATGACATATTTACACCGACTTAGCAAAAGGTTGACTTATTCAGTCATTTCATGTCAAGGGTCAACTAAACAAATCGATTAGCAATATCAGCAAGGTGGCTCTTTTCTAAGCCACATAAAAACAAATACACAAATATATCTCTGGCATATGTTAGGTGTCTTATTTGCATTTGTACCTTCAGCGCACAGGTCGAGATTAGGTTACAGTGTTTAATTAATGAAACATGCGAGACAAAATATTAGTATAGATTAATTACTTCAATGCCAAGTGCAATTATTCGACAATATTGACTTTTGATTAATAAATCCAGAAAAAGGTAGTGAGCACAGTCATTTTTAAAATTATCGAGTTTAAGCAATGGAGAAACAGTAAAGGCACATACACAAAGTTGGTTCAGTTTAGGTTAGTGGGAGCAGTCAGCAAATGATTAAAACCCTCTTTGGGCCAATTCAGCATTAACAACAATATATGTAAAAATTAGTGAATCGCAACTCATCGCACAAACATTGTAAGTTGAAGAGTTTTTGCTAACAGAATTCCAACCCTTGAATACATATAACTTGCCTTTCACCCGGGGTATCGGAGCCTACAGTTGAGATTCGAGATCAGTCCCAGCATTAGATGTCATAACTAAAGTGGTTACAGTTATTTACCATCCCTGTGACTGTCTCTTCACGGAGAAACGTGTTAGTTTATTTGCAATATCTTTAACGTTGCAGGAATTGCGTGATAGTCGAACTGTTATCTTCCTCTTCTAAAATCGCAAGTAGAACAGGTTTTTGCGTACACTATTTTCCAATGATATAGGTAACGTATACCTGTAATGAATCCCGTTTTTTTGGCTTAAATTGATCTCCACTTTGCACAACTCGAAAAATATTCGGTATATTAAAAGATGTGACATTGAAGAAGAAACAATAATCTTTTTGGAGTTTTTATTTAACAATAATAATGATTGGTTATTTTCTTTTTTTTGTAAATAGTGATTACTAAAGTTCAAAAAAATATGAAAATAACCCATTTTATTTTAACATTGTGTATCTGTATAACAAAATACCTATTCTAGGCATTGACCAATGAGTATTTCTATACAAATCCCTTGGAGTGTTCCATCGATGAGATGCCTAAGCCCGAAAGTATAAACCAGGGTTGCTTGTCCGCGTTTCAAGATTGCATCTAGTTGTATAAGTGTGGCAAGAGCAAATCTAATACTGTGTTAGTTAGGTTCATATTGTAATATACCTAAATTGTATATTGCACAATTAACAGTGCGCCTCTTTAACTACCCTCGTTTCCCTAGTCTCTCCTTAAAAATCGCAACAAACGAATTTTTGTATCCGTAACTGTAAAATGCGAGGAAAGGGAAATGGTGCATTAGCCAAAACGATAGGTATTGTAGGAAATTTGCGAATATCCTCATGTAATGAAATTGTAAACTAAATATGTACGCCTGCAGGCCATAGAAAATGAAGTATTGAAACAAGTTTAATGGTACCGTAGGAATTTCTAGATTATTGTTACTGACTGAGCTAAGAAGATTGGCAAGATACGTTTTAAATGCAGTCGGTTCAAGAAATGGTTGCATGGCCCACATTCCATTGACCAAGGCATCGGCTAACCGTTGATAGTTGGCATTTTTAGTTTTTACATTATCTATGAAAATGTTGTTAACCAATCCTTCACATATTTCTCTCGTTTCCTCTAGTGTACCCTTACAGATGTTATATCTAAAAGTGTAATAACACTAATTAGGCACGTAGTCATATCGAAACGTACTTATCGTCTGCGCCCATGATGTAACCGATAACTCTCCATAGATGAATGAAGCTCTCCAATTCTTCTCTGGTCGCATTGTGAATTCCAACCTTTTCCGGCGTTAAGATTGCGAATCCCATGAAACCAAACTGCGTTATACCCATGTCTCTTTGTAAAATTCGCTGCCCACCTGCCACACAGTGTCGTCTACTGGCAGAGCAGTGCATCATCTTAACTTTATTAATTGAGTCCCACAACCTAAATTCAAAATATGCATAGTATTTGGGAAGTGGGATTATCATACTTACTTTGATCCCGGTTTAAAGTCATTATCGTACCATACACACATGTGGTAAACCGTTGCCAAATATCGTTTGTAAGCTGTTAAAGGGGTACTGGACATATTTGTGAATGTTAGAATTTTTAAAATTGTAGGCGTTGATATAACGGTGAGCAGTCCAAAAAGTTTTGCGACAAACATTGCGAGTACATGCTTGTGGTAGAATTCCTGTCCTCTGTAAATAAATAAACTAATTAGTGTTGTTTATGTAATATACTATAATACGCGGTGGAATTGGTAGTGCAATATTTGTTTTGTGTAACACGTTGTGCCATTTTGTGATGTAATAGGTAATAGAAAATAAATGATTAAGTACCTACTAAATAGAAGTTGAATTCTTTTCATACAATAGTGGCGGTGGCGGCTTGCCTTTTCTTAGTGACACCATCTAGTTGGCTTCAAAAAGTTTACGGTTTTAAATAAAAAGTATAGACAAGAGTTAGGGAAAAATAAATTCAATATAATAAACATAAGCATTTCCAATGCTAAAAGCAAGCCGTCACCTGCATTTTTTGATTCGGCATTAGTGTTGTTTTTACTCGAGGTGCCAAAATTTCATTTAAATATTTTAACAAATAAAAAAATTGGATTGTGCAATCACAAAAGTTTGGTTGCGCATGCGCAAATTCTCATCTGCATAGTTTCTTGAGGTTTAAGGAATATTTACTATCACAGAAAATCGGACATTCATATGTTCTTTGTAACAGGATTTATAAAAGAAACCCTTTTTTTGGAGGTTTCTAGAAAAAATAACGGAACGTTCTCGAGGGCCTATCGTATTTCAAGGAAAGAGTGGCTTCATTCCTTAGCCGTTGACTAATCGTTTTAGTTTTCATGGCCCCTGCTGGCGCCCCGATGTCAGGGATACGCGCTACGATACCTAGTAAGAGGCGAAATTAACTGATTCGTTACGTTTGTATTCTCATTGTAATGTTATAAGTAAAATTGAAGTTGTTTTGTTAAACGTATTCCATAAAGGAACCACATAATTCCCTATACTGTACGGTAATCTGTGATATTAGTAGGCAATGAAACGTGTACTTACTACTTGGGCATCATTTTCGAAAGGGGTC